TAGCAACCTCAAGCTATGTTTGCAAAGACATGAGTAATTCTGCCTTTGGAATTTATTCACCTCTGTGCTTCATGCATCTTGCATTGACAGCTCAAGTAAACGGAACAGAACATTTTTCTTTAAAGGTGCAGTGATTTCCTAAGTGAGAGCTGATTTCGGTATTGCCTGTTGCCATTTCTCCTGAAGAGAGGTAATGACCACCGATGACTTGCCACCCTTAGCAGGATGATGGATGGATCCTCCATACAGAGCACAGCACTAATTAAACTTCAGAAAACGATATATTTCAAAATCATCACGCAGAAATCTTTTCTAAGGGTAATATCTTCTAGAGACAACCTTCTAACGATCTCCAGAGGATATCTGGAGATCTGGATACCCTTGGAATATCTACTGGTGGAAAGAGGGGTGTCACTGCTATTACATGGCATGAAGGTACTCCACAGGGCGGCCGCATCTAGTCTGAAAGTTTACATGAAAAATATATGGATTGTAAAGAAATAAAGAGGCAAGTATTTCATTTCAGTCCAGCTATTGCAAACCCAGTTATTCATCCTGCTCCAGGCTGCTTGCATTGGTATATATGAGAGTTATTATATTTGTACTGCATTTATAGCAACTGCAGGGACAAATTTTCCCTAACTCTTTCTTCCAAATTTCATGTTCACCAACTGTCCAGAGACATGTCATTCCCTCTCTTTTGATGCCCTTATTCTGGCTTATGAAATGGCTCCAAATAAAAAAGGAAGAATTAAAAAAAAAAAAAAAAGATGCTTTTGGGGTTAGTTGTGACAGTTTGTTGTTCAGGACATGCGTGGGGAATATCGAAGGAATGAAAATATTTTAAATGTTCCCCTTTTAATGTTCCACTTAATAGGACTAATCTCCCTTTTATAATTATGTAATTAACATTATTTTCTTTTTATTTAAGTGTCCTTTAACATACAAGACAGGGTGAAAGGCAAGCAAAAGCACTACCTTTTCTGAGGATGGTTAACACTACCAGTGTTACGGATCTCTAATATGCAATCTCTTGCTGCTAACATCAATACACACTCACAGTGCACCCAGTGATGAAGGAACTGTTGCTGTGTATGCTTTGAATGTATATAAGGGATGATTTATTTTCCTTTCTTGTCTTTTTTCCTTCCTTTCTGTACTACTTGGAAAAAAAAAAGAAGTGATATGGAACCACAGAATCAATGCTAATGTACCACATTCTGTTTCTGGCCTGAATATATAAAATACAAAGAAATTCTGTGTTAAAGCTGCAAATTCCCTCCTTTACCACGCTGTTTGAGTACTGCAGGGGGTCAGACCAAGGGGATGATCTGTTCCTCCATGTGCACAGCAATAGCTAGATGCTCTGTACCAGTCTGAAGATGCAATCCCATGCCTGGTTCATAACTGCCTTGCATACGTGTGCCAGAGAAAGATCACTAATGATACCTAAGGATATTTTTGTGTGCTTTAATATATTCTGTATGTTTTTATGGCTAAGGCATTGAGGGGCACTTGAAATGAGCCTATTTGATGATTTTTCTTTGGTTCTGATAAAAAGCCCCGTATTTGCTTTTGAGATAGACTAAATTTGTTTCTTCTACGTGTTTCATTCTGCATTGACAGCAAAAGGACACTCTGAATACCCCTCCCCTTCCCCCCAGCTTCTCCAATGGTGTTCAGAATGGCAAATAAGAAGGAGTATTTAATTAGGAAGCTTACTTCTAGTGCTATAATAATAATAACAGTAATAATAATAAAAGAAATGAAGAAGAGACAAAAGATGAGAGAAAAGACTGGAGTAACGACAACTAGATCAGGTTGTTGCTGGCTCCCTTTGCCTTTTCTTTTTTAAAGATGGTAAATCTAAAGGACTAGCACAGATGAAAAACCAAGACTGAAGGTGGGTGGAGAAAGCAGTTTTAAAAACTGAGCAAGCAGGGATGAAACAGCTTCTGGCAAGGAGGGTACAACACTAAATAGCTTCATTGAGCAATAAAGAGAAAAGGAAAGGGTGAAGAGACAGGATGAAAGGGACGACGAGAACCGGTGAGAAAGCAAGGGGACCACTGTGCACACAAGGAAAATGAGGTTTTTCAGTGCCTTCACCTCCCACATCAAGACGGTGGCAAGGACAACAGCAGAGATTTAAGAAAGATACCCAGCATTTCTCTCTGTCTCTCTTTCTCTCCCTGTCTTCCCAAACTCACCGTCACACATACGCTCTCATTTACAGAGGCGCAGAGGGACAAGCTTTCCCAAACACACACGCACGCAACCCCATCATTTCCTGTTGCCTGGGAGCAC